ATGACACTCAATTGAAAACTGCTCTAGCTTTCTGCTGTTCCAAAATGGTACATCTGTGGATTAAGGGTGCATTCCAAGAAAATGTCAGCAGAGTCAAAATGGTTTTGGAGTATTGGATCAGATGAGGCAGCATTTACATTTTTGTGCTGAAAGTTCATTTTGTTTGTGAGAATACAAGAGACAGTTATGTATAAATCACACTGACAGTTATGGTTAAATCAGTTATAACTTGCTGTTCTGTGTGTTATTCAATTTGTAGTCAGCAATGAAGTCCCTGAACACCCCTGTGTCTCGCCATCCTCTAACTGTGTGTTTGAGAGAAGGCTGATTGAAAAGTATATCGCTGAAAATGGTACTGATCCAATAAGTGGTGAACAGATATCAGAGGAACAACTGATTGATATCAAAGGTAAGTTTCCAAATTGCAAGTGGCATTCTGCATTGTCTACTCTTCATAACTCAAAATGCGTCTTGATATCAACAACTAAATAGTCTGACTATAGGTTGTAGATACAATAGATAATGATAATAACTGTGCTATTTAGTAACTGTGGTAATAAGGAATACATACACCATATTTGATGGTCAAACATTTGATAAGCTGAATGGTATTTTTCTGAGTCCCAAGGGGCTAGGAAAACTATGAGTGAGGAGCAGAATATTTAAACACATATTACATGTTAAACTTTCAAATAAGGGATTCATCTTTCACTGATAAGTCATTTTCTAGTATTTCGGCTTCTGGTTTTTGAAAATATACCTGCATCATCCGAAAATTGTACTGATCTCACAAGGCACATGTGAATGACAGAATCATTACATAGTACAATGAGGGCTCCTGTTTTTGCATGTGCTTTTGACCCAATATGATAAAATGGCATAATAGTGGAATAATGAGGTTGAATATCCAATAGGATGCATGTTTTCTTTTCTGATTTATTCAGGATATAATATAGGAATTAAAAAATGTCTGCAAATTAAACAGTACCCCTCTAAATGGGATTTTAGAAATATAAACATGGGCTTTTAAGTAATGGACGCAAGTAGTACCCTGAGGGGATAAGAAACACTGTGGAATATGTTCCTCAGTGCTTCAGTCTAAAACTCTGCTGAAACATTGACAACAATAACATTAATGTCACTTTGAAAATGGTAAAGGTAAGTGAGGTAAGCGCACTACCCATGAGGCCACCATGCCTCCACACTTTGAAAATGACCTAGTGTTTATTTTTAATTCCAGTGAACCCACTGGTTAAACCCAGGCCACCATCAGCAACCAGCATTCCAGCAATCTTGAAAGCACTCCAAGATGAATGGGTAAGACGGTAGCACTGGAAATGGCCACTGTGATATACCAAACCTCTGTTACAACAGAGTTAACATATGAGCCCCTCTATGGGTATTTTCAAAGAAATCAAAGAGGCTGATACTGCTAAAAAGTTCTCAAGGTTGAAGCAAAGATTTAAAAATTGGCATAATAACATGGAATATTGACCAATAATTATATTAAGAACCAATTTCCAGAACAAAACAGACCAAAGTCAGCAACAAATCCAAACAATCTTTAATTTCCATTGCTGTCATTTATTTTGCTTTTCACAAATTTATACAGTTATTTATGTGGAGGGATGTGAATTACACTTGCATCTGACTAAACTGTCAGGCAATGATTTCAATCCATAAAACGAAGATCTGCCTAAAACAATAGAGGATTTGCAAAACAAATGCGACAAAAACAAAGTCTTGGGTTACCTAATATAGAGAGGTTCACATATAATCAAGTACGGACTGTTTATGATTTTTCAAAATCTTGATACATAGTTTTAGTGGATCACTGGGATGGGTTCGCTCTTTTTGTAAAAATCTCCAAATTTTGCTTCCTAAATTCTTTGTAAGGTGAAAAAATAAATAATATGGTGATCCTTCTCAAAGAAACATTGCTCGTTCAGAATATCCATGTATTATTCAGTTCCAGAAAATATCCATACTCCCCCCACAGAAGGGATTGGAATTTCCTGGGAGGTGGGTGGTTCTGGAAGACCAAAAATTTAAAGAATGTATGAAGCTCAATCGGAATTTCCAGAGGGGTGGGGGGACTTAGAAAATTTCCCTTCCATGGGGGAGGTATGGATATTTTGTGGAACTGAAGCATCACCCAAATGTAATAAACAGAAATGTACATGTATTTCCTTCCAAAGAAGTACACACATACACATCTTACAATGTGCACATCTTACAAGACACATTTTGTTGGTGCCATTTTATTTTTTCAGGACGCCTGCATGTTGCATAGTTTTACTTTACGACAACAACTTCAGACAGCCCGGCAAGGTTACTTGGTTTCACTGTGTTTTTAAGTTTCACTTTCGTTTTGTCTCTCATTCTTTTGACTATGGTTGATGTCCTTCATCACTGATGTGATTTGTTGTGCTGTTGTAGAGTTATCTCATGCCTTATATCAGCACGATGCTGCCTGCCGTGTGATTGCCCGTCTTACAAAGGAAGTGACTGCTGCTCGTGAAGGTACTAACACAGCTCTTACTGATGTTTCAAATGTCTGATGTGATCAATATGAAAGGAATCACAACAAATTGAACAGATAAAGTAAATGTTCCATTGATTGCATTCTCTTTGTTTTCAGCTCTGGCTACTCTTAAGCCACAAGCTGGCATGGCAGTTGTTCCCTCTGCTGCTCCAGTTCAGGTGAGGAATGACTTGGATTAGACCACTCCCTTGTGTATACTGTTTCACATTTAAAACCAATATAAAACAGAGAGAAAAAGAATTATCTAACCAGTCTTAGCTTCTCTCAAGGATGATCATGTTTGTAATGTGAATACACTTGAGTGGAAAACAGATCACGGTAACAGTTACAAACACATGCAGACTTCTCTATACAACAGCCACAGGGAATTTAAATTCGCTAGAAAACATTTCAAAACTTTAGTGCTACCCACTGACAGTAAGCCCTTAAAAACTCAAAATAATTATCTTTTTATGCCCATTATTGCCTGTTTCTACTCCTTAAGCCATTATTTACCTATGAATCTTTATAAATTATAATTTACTTTGTCGTTCTACTGGTAGATGGAAGAGGCCATGGAAATTGGTGCCAAGGTAAGAGACATTAAGGAACTGACTAAAGCACTTCCTTGAATTTTGCAAATTATAGTGCTTTGTGGTTTGATTTACATTCTCAATTATAGCAATTTCATTTTGATGCACTTACACATAAGAATATTAACTAAAAAAAATAAATATTAAATAAAATATTTACTCATTTTTGCAATTGAAAATTTGCAGCCTGGTGATGAAGAGGGAATGACAGAGGAAGTTCTGCAGAAGGTAAGAATGGGCCAATTTATTGTGTTTTATGTACAGTGTGTGAATAACTTGATTAAACAAGGGAACATTGTAGAAGGGCTAATGAGTAATTAACAAGAAATTTTGTTTCAATGCTCATTTTTCAGTTGCAAGACAAAGCAACTCTCCTGACTGCAGAACGAAAGAAGGTAAGCCATGTAGTTAATGCTTTATAACAATGACTTTGGTTCAGTCTGCTCTCTGATTCTTTTTGTATATTATTTGTCACTGCTTTTAAAGTGATATATTAACCAAAAATTATTATAATTTTTTCCCTTCTCCCCATCAGCGAGGAAAGAAGGTTCCAGAGGACTTGAGCACAGTAGATGAGATACGATCTTACAAGCCAATCTCTTCACATGCAGTAAGTTGGAAAAAAGACAACAACAACAAGCTACATGTATCTGTATTGTGGATTAACAGCAAATAACAGTCCTGTTACCACCCACTGGTGAAAGCTTAGCGCAACTGGATTCGTTGGAGCACATGTTACTGTTTAAAAGTGAATGTTAACAAGTGCGTCATTAAATGGAGGTTGGGTGCCTGAGATATCTAGGAGCTTCCACTATTGGCAGCCAGCTCCTAGAGGAAGACTGCTCCTGTGGCTGGCAAATCCTGGAAAGCAAACTATGAGCTCCCACACAGAAGGGGAGACAGGCACCTGTCACACTGAATTAACAGTGGAAAGCGGGAGGGAAGGGAAGGGGAATGCTCGAAGACATACTCCCATGCAAAACAATGCTCACCATAAATGCTGTCACTGTGAAGGCTGCTAGCACATCTTAGTTTAAGAGCACATTGAATCCTGGTGCATGCACATATCAAAAACATTGCTGACCACTATGGGAATGCAGGCGCTCTTTGTTGTTAACCTTTGTTGTTGTTGAATTGCAGTTAACTGCATTAAATTTTTTAGGGTCTACACAGCGCAAGCAACCCTGGAATCCTAGCTCTGGATTTATTTGCTGCTGATACGTCCAGAGTCATCACAGGTATGTAGTGATAAATCTACTGCATATAATGAAAATGATACTGTCAGATTCTGTCAAGGAGTTGTTAACATGGTATAATTCATTTCACTAGGTGGACTTGACAAAAACGCAGTGGTGTTCTATCGTGACACAGAACAGGTAAGACCTGAATTTAAACTCTTACTCAAAATCCCAAGCAGTAATGAATGTTCTTACTTTTCTTTTAATTAGTAAAAATAACAACACACTTGGTAATTTGACAGGATGGTCAAGGTGATTGGAGAAAATCACTGACTGTGTCAATAGACCATTTTACAGTTGTCTGCTCAGTGACCTAGCCTTTGAATGGCAGCGAGGTTGGAGGTAACGTTGTTTTGATACAGATCTTGCTGCTTTTGTTGTGTAAAACAAGTTGTTCTAATGCTAACTAGGTGCATTTACATGACAAAAGCAGTGAGGTCTGTATCAAAACAAAGTTAACTCCAGCCTCCCTGCCATTCAAAGGCCAGGTCACCAGGCAGACAACTGTAAAATGGTCTATTGCACCAATCCAGTTATTCCTGAATTGTTCTCCAGACATGAAGGAGAGGAAGATTTCTATTTCTAACGACTACTTTGCAAAATGAATTTGCTGAATCAAACTGTTTCATGAGCAGTCTAGTTTATCTTAGCAGTTCCAGGGAACTAATTTTCAAACAGTCTGCCATATATTAAATACCAGTCTGGCACAGTGGATTTTGTGGTCAGTTACTGTCTTGGTAAACAGCCCAACTATCTTGTAAGTTTTTCATAGATTCAGCAATCACTTACAAAGGGAAATGTATGGCTAGACAATATTATATTTTAAAAAATTAATGATGGTCTAGGTTGGACAAGTTGTTGATTCTGCGTAACCATTTTTTTCTCCGCTTCAAATTTTTAGGTTATTGCAACTCTGAAAGGTCATACCAAGAAGGTTACAAATGTGGTCTATCATCCATTTGAGGTAGTAAGCTTCGCCTTCTTCATTATATAAACCTTTCCTCTACAGATTGTGTGAAACAATTTTGAATTAATAATATTGTTTACTGTTGGGGTAGGGATTATTTGTGAGGGGAAGGCTTGAGGATGAGGGTTACAGAAAAATACACATTTAATGATCTAATTTTCATGGATCTCCACAGGCTTTTACATTCATGTTATAACTTGTTTATTTTATACATCTAAATTTACTAAAATGTCATATTCAAAAAGTAGTTAATCCAGGTTGTTCAAAGCCAGTTTTGTAACTACTCGGTGAGGTTTTCTGTTTATATTGTTTGTCCTTCAGTTTTCAACTTAAGTAATTTCAAAATACACAAAACATAAGAAGTGAAAAACATTCTTGTTCAAGAAAAATTACTACTTTGATTAACTTTTAAGGACATGCATGCTAAATTGTTTCTGTGCATCCTTACTGCGCACACAAATTCACACGCCACCTGATGCATCGTTGCATGCGCTTAGTAGTAAAATGAATGATAGGGCAGACAGCCATTGCTATAGCTTTACCTGGATTTAACGATCTTAGACATCCAGTGACCCCTATTTTTCTTTTAATGGATCATTTCTCTATCGATTTTCTATGTTTAGCGAAAAAATGAAGAAAATCTATTGATTAGAAGTTTGAATTCCATTATTTTTAGCTCTTTGTTTATCTGTGAAAATGTTGGCAACATTTGGAATTATT